TTCCCAGTGAGACGCAGCAGCCAGCCATGACGAATGCGGGAATTCGGGGCCGTCTCTCTTCCGCTGTTGTTGTTTTGGGGAAATTCATGAAAAACTTGGCTGCCTTTGAGGGCGCCTGTATTGGGATTTAAGCCAGATTTTCTCTGCTGCGCTGTTATTCTTTATAATTGCGCATATGACCCCGATTAATACAGTTCGCTGAGCAATTCGCCAGCCGACTCAGCTGAACTTGGCCTGTCTTCTTGGCCTTGTCTTAATGGTCTATGGTCTTTGGTCTACAGTTGTGGGCCAGTGGGTCAAAGATTCCGGTGACAATTGATGGCTAAATAAATGGCAATTAACTGACATTGATGTAGCGGACTTTGGAGTGCAAAACTACTTGGCGGCCATAAATCAAAGGTAGTGGTCTATCCATCTTTCCGGCCGACTCATTTGATAAGAGCCAACTTTGACGCAGGTGTTTATTTGAGCTTGTCGATTACCCCTCAATATTTTAGTGCTATATCTACAGAGAGAAAAATTAAATTACCTACTTACTGCCTACTTTTAACCAAACTTTAAATGTTATGTTAATGAGAAGCCACAGAAAATATTTAGTAAGGTGTCTAAAAGTATGCTACAAATAAATTTAAATAGTTCTTATTTTCATTGCATACTTTTAGACGCCCTTTTAAATGATTTCAAAACCATTAAAATGGCTGTGCAGATTGAGCGCCGAGCAAATGGACTTTAGACCACGCTTCGAATTAGTTCCCCTCCCTAATTACTTTCTTTTTTTCTCTATGTGTGGCCTTGGCTCCATTTTAATCTGGTAAGTGAATGTGTCAACTTTTTCTCACTTTGTTTGTTTGCCCTGCACCACGCACACCCCAGGGACACTGAGACCCTGGGCCCAACAAAGGCAGCCAGGCAACGACCAACAATGGGTCTCATTTGGGTTGTTTTTCTTGGCTCACAACGTTCTATTATTCATTTCAATTTGCGTGTGTGTGAGTCTGAGTGGGGCGAAGGTCCCTCAATGGTACGGGTAGATTTTTCATCAGAGTTCACGAGTCCATCCACAGCCCACAAAGGTCAGTGGAAGTTTGTTATTCTTTTTCGCCAGCTCGTTTATTAGATTGAACCTCTACGTCCCCGGCACATTTCCCCTCCAGCTGACACATCAAAAAACTTGCCATCGGCTGTTCCTGACAAGTCGATTTGAAGTGGCATCGATGCCCGGGGTCCAGGGGATTGTCGGGAAAACAGAAACTGAAACTGAAACTGGGGCTGGAACTCATAAACACGACAAAGTTTTTTCTCCCCTTCGACTGCTTGTCAAGGGAGGGAGTTCATTATAGCCAACTAGCTGCTGACCACAAAGCCGGGTCAAGTAAAGTTCCGCTTTTTGGTCGCGTGCAGCTTATAAAACTTATAGTTCAGCACCGAGCAGAAGGACTGCCAGCTAATGTCTTTCTAATGGTTATCCTGTCGGAGAAGGTCCATCAATTGTGGGCAAGTAAATATTTTGTTAACATAATTGCATAAATCACAGTCAATTTTTCATATCGTGCGATAATTTCAGCCGGCACACACACATGACTCCCTGACTCCCACGGCAAACATTGACTGGCGATGCGGTGGCCCCGGTAATGATGGCGTTGGGTAAATAAACTGTCAGTTTGCATGACTGCCGCCATCACTCATACGCCCCCATGGCTGGCTGAGATTGTGCGCCCGGCGAATTGCCACGCTCGTACGCACTTCTGGTAAACAGCAAACGGGCAACAGCAGCAACAGCAACAACAGCCAGACAACAAATGAAGTTTGGCGCTTCCCGGGTCATATGCAATCATAATGAAGACATTTCCGGCTCATTGAACACCCTGCGTACACAGCTACAACAACTCGGTCTAATGAACCCATAAGCGTTGCACATTGGTCGGGGTAATTGGCCCACAGTTCAGTGCATATTTAAATGTTCCCTGATTTCTTTTTCGGCAATCGGCAGCTTAACAGTCGAGTTCATTGCTCATCAGGTGGTGGTAATTTGTTATGGGGTGGCAAAAGGTTTACAGTAGGTATGGGTACGCAAATGGAGATAAGATCCAAAAGGACCTTAAATTTGATTTGGTTTAAGGAAACAAACTTAAAGCCCTTTGGCTAAAAATTCGGATTAAAAAAATGTTAATTGTTCAAAATCCCATTTAATATCCTGATTTGGTTTACTGTTAGCCAAAACATGGAACTCTATAAACATGGTATAAAAATGAGAGAACCCATTGCAAATAGGGCAAATAATTGGCCCGGCCACTGATTTCGTATGCAGATTGAAAAGTGTTCGATGGAGACAGCCCACCGACAATTGTTGCAATTCCTGGGCAGACAATAAATATCTGCGCTGGCTTCCCGGGAAGCACTTTAAAATTGATTCTGCTGAGCTCTCCCCTAAGCGCTCCCAAGCGACTGCTACCTATTTTTCCTGCTCCTTCCAAGTTTTCCATGTCCATGTCCTGGCCCAAACAAGACACGACAAATTGCCGGGAGAATGCCTCAGGAAAATGCTACCAGACGCAGAAGGGAATGAGACGGTACAGAGAGAAAAAGCCTGGGAAAACTTATGCGCATTGGGCACAAGTCAAATTGCATTTAAAGTGACAAATGTGCCTGGCTTGTAAGTGGGTGGCTAGGTTTTCCCAGGATTGTGGGTGAGCTGTGTAAGGACAGAAATTGACCAAACACGTGCTAAAAATATTTCCTTGGCAAACAAAAACCAAATGCCAGTTAACTTCCTTTCTTCATTCATTTCCCACCAGCGGCAAAACAAGGAGCAGGAAAAAGCGAAGGAAGCGAAAGCATTTTTCATGCTTTGGTCAACTGCTACGCCCACACTCACATACGCCCTGGAATTGTGGGCGTGGCAGGCGCTGGCAGTGCTGACCCGGCATTAGAATTTATCGCTGTCAGCACTTGGGGGCCAAAAGGGGCGGGGCTCCCTCCCTTTTTGTTCCTTTTCATCTTTTTTTTCAGTGGGAAATGGAAAAACTGTCCCTCCATGTGGTATCCAAAGTGGGCGGAATCGAAACGTGCCCATCCCTCGTGCATGTGACATGTGAGTTGGAGAATTCGGTGAGGAGTTCCGAGTGCCGGGTAAAAAAACAGCAGCAGAAAGCCAGAACACCTTGAGGGCCCGTGATTAATGGCATTGTTCGCCTGTCTGTCAGCGCGATCCATTTGGGCCCGACATTGATAAGGCGCGGCGGCTTAAAGCCAACTTTGCTCGTAAGTATCCGCATTAAGCACCAATTAGTTGGCGCCCAACGTGGGGCATTCAGCTTTTCCATTCTGCGGCTCTATAATTTGGCTTATTAACAGTGCGTGCAGCGTGTACTGGCAATTGTTATTGTTATTGCCGACAAAGTTGCACACAATACAAAGCGCTGCAGCAGCAGCCAAAATGATGCTGGAAATTAACTCAGAAATCTGCTGTGAGCTCATTGTCAGCAGGCCAAAACTTTTCTCGGGCACGATGAAAGTTGGCCCAGCCAGCACAACTTTGCGAACGAGAATGCAAAAACTTTTCGGCGAGAATTACAATCGTGATAAAAATTATGAAAATATTTGGAGTGCTCAAGTTCTTCTGAGCGACAACTTGGCGTGGCCACGCTGACTGTCTGCCTGCTGGCAAAATGTTTGCAAATCAAATCCAATTAAATTACATAAATGTGCCGGCGTGAGGGGAGAGGGGTTTTTCTAGTCTACTATTAAATTAATAATATTTTGCATCGCAAAAAGAGCAGTCGCCATGCAGAAAACACCATTTCCACCTGCCCGAATGCCAATGCAATGTTCGATGGGAAAACTTTTGTAATCAAACTATTTGAATTGAACAAGCGTCCTCACACACACAGCGGGGAATTCGTACAACTATTTTGTATTGGAGAAACTCATAAATCCAAAAGAAAACTATTGCAGACGGCAGAAACTGGGACTGCAAGTGCCTTTGGGCCGGAGAATCGAGGAATAAAGGGGTGCGCTTTAGTTTGGGGAAACAATGGCAAAGTTATTTGCTTATTTATGCAGTGTGCATATTGAACTCTCGGTGCCCTCGTCAAAGTGCAGCTGTCTTTCCCCCAGTTTTCTGCTGGAAAAGCGAAAGGCAGAGCTCAAGGGCCACCGAACGCACTTAGCGGCCAATTAGAAAAGTTCTCGAGGAAATCTCAGCTCAGCTCGAGAGCTTTTCCGGGCATATCAGACCGACTTGATGTCTGTCGCAATATTTAAACGTCTGCTGTAAATATTTGATGCCTAATTGAATCATTCATTCGGCTGCCGTTGCTCATTGCCACGCCCCTTTGCCCCCTTCCGCCCCTCGAAACGGGTTGATTTGAATAAATTTGAAATTCTGCTGAGTCTGCCTGTGCCAGCATTTAGTCTGTCAGTCGCCCATCGCAAATTTCCCGGCTGCTCTGCATTCCTGCAGCTGCATTTTGGCTCTCCTACTGCCAGTGGGCGTGGCTGGTGGGATGTGGGCTGGAGGGGCGTGGCATTGACTTGGCGTGGCATACTTTGCGGCGCATTATGCGGCGGAACGAGAGAATTGTGCAAATTAGCGGAGCGCGTTTGCACTTGCTAGGCACTCATCAATATTTGCACTTCAATTAGTGACGATATGACAAACAGTGCTTACACATTCGCGCATTTTCAGGCATAGATGTGTAAGCAGATAAAGCACGAAAAGGTTTAAAATTTCAAAATAATTTAATTTACAAACATTTTAAAACAAATCGTTTTTGAACTGAGTTCTAGGAAAGGTTTAAAATATCAAAAAATCAATTTAATCTACAGAGATTATGCGCGTTTCCAAGCTGAGTTCTCTGGAAAAGAGCTTATTTATATGTAACTGCTTCGAAGTATAAGGAAGTGCATTTCTGATAAGCAGCTGAATAAGAGATTATAACCGATGGGCTAGAGCACATGAGCTATCAGTACGTTCGGATTTCTGAGCATAAGAAGATATGGCTGGTAGTCCATCGGTTCTTCTTGCGATTTTCGCGATCGTTTCGATCCTACAGGAGAGTATTATAGCACAATTCCTTGAACCGAATTGCGGTCTCACTGGGATAGCTCCAAAAATAATGCACGGCCAGAATGCAGTCCATGGAGCCAATCCCTGGATGGCATACATTTATAAAACAGTCAATCAAACTGAAACTGAGTTCATATGCGGCGGAACTCTTATACACAGTGGTAGGTTTTTAAACAGATTAATAACTAAATATACTATAACTTGGTTATTTAAATCATTATTTTCAGAATTTGTGTTGACCGCAGCTCATTGTATCATTAATGAAGACATTCTGTAAGTTCCCGCTTAAAAAAGAAATATTTAATCTTTTACAATGTCAATTGTTTTTGTTCCAGTGCCGTTCGTCTTGGAGAATATTATTCAGAGAGTAGATCCAGTACTTCCTGGGATTACGCAGTTACCCTGGCCTTCCGAAATAAACGTTATGCACAAGCGGAACATATCCATGATATAGGTATATTGAGATTGGGCCCAGAGGTACGATTCAATGGTAAGTTGAGCACCATACAGTTGATCTGCTAAGGTTTCTCTATAATGTTTTCTATATAGCTTTTATTAGGCCCATTTGCATCCTAACGGATCCCACAAAGATTCCTAACATCAGAACCTACAAAGCCGCAGGTTGGGGAACAACTGAGAACGAAAAAGTATCGAGGGTTTTAAAAACTTTAGAGCTAAACGAACTGGATGCATCCGACTGCTATAATGCTTTTTGGGTAAGGACAACCGAGAACCAGATCTGCGCAGGACATCCCATTGGCGATACCTGTATGGGCGACTCTGGAGGTCCATTGGTCCAACAGGTTTCCATTGACGGCCAAATGCGGTACGTGCAGTTTGGAATCGTCAGTTTTGGCAGCACGCAATGCAGAAGTCCTGGTGTCTACACTCGGGTAACCAGCTATATAGAGTGGATCCTCAAAGTCGTAAATAATTACACGGTAAACAAGCGATGGGACATCCAGTTTCGAAGAGAACCAGGAAACTATAATTAGACTAAAACCTTATAATTCTTAAGATCAAATTAATAGTGATTCTAAAAAGCCTACGGTTTGGAAAACAAACTAAACAAACTTAAATTTTTATTTTTTGGTTTACTTTAAAACTTTTAGGTGAAAGGCAGAAATTTTAATAATATTTTGAAAGCCAAACCCCCAAAGCTCTATAGTTAAAAAACCCAACCGATTGATAGCCAATTTTGGTGATATTTTTTCTCCGAGTGGGAGGGTAGAATTAAATTGCATCTAGAAATTTCTCATAATTCACATTTTTATTGCCGACCGGATGGTCGAAACTTTGGCCATTTCCTAAGCGCTGAGCTGAAAAAGTAACAAGTTTTTTGGGCCTTGCTTTTGTCCAGGCTCATTACCGTATTGCGTTACCCTCCTGTTTGCCCCCCGTTGACCTTCCCGAAAAGCGGCAGCCTGCCACTTGCCACTTGCCGCTGGCTGCTTGTTTGTGCCGCAAATGAACGGAAATGGTGAAACTTTTAATTGAAACCATAAATTTTGCGTGGTTTCTGTGCCCACGGAATTTGTCGTACGCCGTACTCCCCCATTTTGTATTTCGCATGGTCGCCATTTCTGGGGAACCCACCTTCACCTTGTTGAGAAGTGCAATTAGCGCTGTCCTGGAAATCCCTGGCGAAATCCCTGGCCTGCATTTTTGACCAACTAACCAGGCAGCCAGTCAGCCAGGTAAGATGCCCAAATTGCCCTCGAAACTTTCCCAGCTGAGCAGATTCAGATTCAGTTTGAGTTCCAGTTCCAAAAGCAGCCGGAGATTCGTTAACTTCACTATGCTCATTCGACGGTGTATTTGTGCACCGGAAATGGCGAATGATTAAAATGGGCGTGCCATAATTTCCGCCTCGCTCCGGCGAACGGGAAATTGTCGAGATGGCAGCTCCTAATTGAAAAGGACGAAGCCACTGAAGAGACGCCGCTCCTGGCTCCCACAACAAGTTGTTGCCGCAGATTCGTATCATCCACATCACCAGCTTCCATATCCATCCAGCGTTCGACGTGAGCACTTCGAAATTCAATTTCCTGCACTTAAATGGCTTGGCAGTTACTTTGGAACCTGTGTTCAACCTTCTGCAGCGACTCAATTCGCTGCTGAGTCCGCCGATCAATCAATAAAGGAGGACGCCAAATAAATGTAATTTAATTAAGTTCAATATATATTAAATTGCCAGCGTCGTCGTTTGACTCTAATTGGCGAAATATAATTTGGATAAGAACAAGAATAACAAGGTCAGCAATAAATAAGTTCGAACTTTTGCTTGTGAATTTTATAAATTTTTAAGATAACAACTTTACGGAAACCGAAAAAAGGGGTAAAATATTATACAAACTATAAAACAAAAAAAAAACGATTTTTTTAATGGAGATTCCCATTCTAATCCAATATCTATATTTTCAGAGAACCAAAATCGAAAATAGAACATTAAAATAGTTCTAATAAAGGAAACTTTCTGGAGATTTTATATCGGAACCTAAAGATAATTCTTTCTATGGCGGGCATTAAATTCTCCATTTGTTAACTTTCAGCAGAGAATGTCAATCGGATGCTGTGGGATGTGTGTTTTTGGAGCACCGCGAGAGTATTTGGGTCTGGCTAATATTTCAAATGTCTGTGTCCCCCAGCGCCCCGAAAACTCTCCCTCAGTTTTTGTGTGCCACTTTCGATATTGATTTTGTTTGGCATAAATATGCTATGTTTGCTCATTTTTGTTGCCACTGTTGTGGCTGCCACTTCCACTCTGGTTACGTTTTTATTATTTCTCCATCTTTTTTTTCGCCTGTCGAGATGGAGCGTACGGAGCTCCCGTACCGCCCCCTGTGGCAAAATATTTTTAATTTGCCAAATGGCACAGTCAGCCAAGTGAAAGCCATACCTATACATGATACTTCTATGCGAAGTGGTTGTGGGTTCTGTGTGGCATGTGGCATGTGAAAAAGAGAAACCACAGCAGGAATTTTAATAATTCTAATGCGAGCTTTGCGAGTTATGCCCCCGATAGAAAGGAAAGGAGGAAATCGATAGCTCGATGCGAAACGCCTGCCAATCGAATGATTTACGGCGACAATCGAGGACGAACTTCCGCCGGATGCGGATGCAGACGCCGCTCTCCACACGCATCATCGCCTCATTAGCGAGAATCAGCGGAAAAACCGCAAACTTTCATGACGCACACACACTGGAAATTTAATGCGCATAATTCATGGCATATTACCAACACTTCATTTTTTGGCTTCGCTTAAGCTCGGATGGCTCTGTGTTTTTGGCAATAAATTCGACGAGAATGGGAAAAATCTGAATGGGCGAGAGGACAAACTTTTGTTGCTTAAGTAAACTTGAAAAGTTTCAAGACATAAAAGTTTGTTGTGAAAGTCACACGAAAGTTGAATGCAATAAATCTGCACGTTGCTGCCACCGAAAGCGAACCGAAAAAGGCATCTCTCTAAAATTGTGCAATGCGCTGGCTTTTCTGCTTCGCTCTGCTCCCGGGCCAAATCCGTTAAAACCCGTTAGCATTTGCTGGCCAAAAAATGGTGGAAAAAAATATTGAATTCACTGGGAACTGAGAACCGAGAGCCGGAAAATAAAAAGAGGGAAAACTTTCAGCACATTCTTGGCTGATAAATGGGCAGCGAAATCTTGAAACACAAGCGCAGATTTCACCCAGCACGAGTACTATATATAACACATTCCATTCCATTCCATGCCACGTCACGTCACGGCCAGAACTGCAATGCAGAATGGCTCTTGACCACTTCAGAATGCCAAATGGCCAGTGGCTGTAGTCGGCTGTGTGCTAATTACGATTAAGGCCGGGTCAAAAGAGGCTCAGGTGCACGGGAATTGGGCTGAACTTATTAAAAGTTTGACATCACACATGTTGGCTGTTCTGCAACTGCCAAGCAATCAAAAGTTGGCAACAATTGAGTCGAGGCATTTAAGCAGGCACAGGCTTTAATTTTCACGGGCCATAACGATGGAAGCGGCGGTAACCCAGTTAGAAAGCCAAAAGTGTCTTTGTGCCACATGCAAAATAAAAAGAAATAAAGCCCGGGGCGGAATGGCAGCAATCTTGGCCATAACTAGTGAGAGAGTGGATTCGTTGGGGCAGGCTTAAAGAACGCCCCTCCCCTCCACTCGCCACTCCTTTATGCCACACGGCAGGACCCTCTTTTTATCATTATGTGGCAGTTGCGGCTTAATTGCAATGAAAGCGCACGGCTTCCTCCAGCAATTTGCAGTGCGGCCGAGACTTAATCACATGAACGACACGGCGCCACATAAACTTAATCTCAGCGCCAGGTGAGCGATGGCGGAATGATGCAGATGCAGGTGCAGGTAACCGGAAACAGGAAACAGGCAGCAGGAAACGGAATCCTTTTCCCCCAGGCACACACATATTTCCCTTGATTATTATTATTATCGATGCACTCTTCTGCACTGCATGCTTCCTTTAAGTTTAAAGCCCGGTTCCTCAACTAATTAGCCTCGTTTAAGTTACAGTTTTCGAAAGTTAAACACTCTTGCGAGCAGAGACGCAATTAGCAAGCTTACCGAGTTTATGAAAGTTTTGCCAACACTCTTGCCGTCCTTTTGCAGCTAATTAATTTGCCTTGCCGAAAAGGAACAGTGACGCGAACTGTGACAGTGACAGTTCGCAGTCCTGGTGAAGCAGTCACAGTAATGTGCTGGCCGAAAAAAATTAAGAACACAGCTTTTGCATTGATAATTTTTATGCGGTCCCCCCACCTTAATTGGAAAAGTTTTCCCATTTTAATTAAAACATTTGACTTAATGCAAAATGCAGCAGCGGCAGCAACAGCAGCACAACAAAAACGAAAACAGCCAAACAATGGGGAAAAGTTGTGCTGGACATTTTGAATGACTTTGCTTGGTCGACCAAGTGCAACGCATCGCTCATACGCCCTGTGTGGCCCGATTTTCTGATGGTTAATTATATATTGCCTGTGCAGAGTGGACTATAGTGACTGTTATAAGCATTAAACACATTGCTCATACACAGAAATAAATTGACCATAGATCAGATTGATATTATATCGTCAGATTCATATTATTTTTATATGAATGAAGATTATGTTTATCTTATTTTACCACGTTTGCTTAAAAATTCTAAATTTGGTGTTTAAAAGCACTATTTTTACAACTTTTATGAAATGATAAAAGATCAAGTTGATATGTTTAAATCATAAATTTGAAATTAATCATATCGGCTTTTAGAAGATATTAAATAAAGTAGAAGTTTATATCCAATTTTTCCCGTTTTACCCGTAAAGCACTTATGTTCTTAAAAACGATATATTATAACACTCACATTGCTCATACGCCCCGTTTGCAAGTGGAACTCAATATGTTTGCCATTGAAACAGATCTCGGCTCGCTATTTTAGCTATGTGGCCGCATTCCGGATTCCACTCGCAGCTTATGCGATTTAGCCGACAAGACAAATAGTTCCTTGTAATTTGCTTGTATGTCAAACGACTCGCATATGTCAAATGTCAAACGCTGTCCCACAGCCATTTTTCTCCATCTCAGCCCTTGGCTTTTCCTTATTTTCCTCCTCCCTCTGCGGGTGTCGACATGTGCGAGCTGCTGGGTTTGCAAAGTTTTGCAAACAATAAATTACTATTACAATGACAATTCCACCCGCAGTCGCAGTCGGGCATTTTTTACGCTTCGCTTTGCACTTCCGTTTCCGCTTTTGCTTTTTCCACATGTGTGTGAAAGATATATCATTGGGTGATTTTTTTGTTGCAGCCTCTGATCAATGCGAGATCACGTTCTGAATCGGGATTCAGGTTCTTCGGGATTAGCCAGTGCTACAAAGATGTCTATAATGAAAAGTCTGATTCGGGGAAAACAAAAACAGAGCTAGCCACCTAGAATGTCTGGCCAGCTGGCTGGATTAACACTTGAGTTGAGTTCCTGGTGGAAAAAAGGAAAACTGCCAGGC